TGATTACTATCTTCCCCAGCCATCTCCCCCTGGTGTGAATCCCAGATTACTCCCCCATAATTCACTCCCATTTTTCTTTATGGAATGTTGGATGTCAGCAATGGCCTCTGAAATAAAGGCAATGTTCAGGAGTGCCTGAGTTTCTCAGTTGGCTAAGGGTCTGCCTTCGGCTCAGGTCATTGATCTCAGGGTCCTGGGAAGGAGTTCCGCTCAGCAGGCAGTCTCCTTTCCCCTCTCCCCCTGCCCCACCCCCACCCCACTAGTGCTCTCTCTCTTGATTCTCTCTCTCAATTTTTTTTTTTTTTTAAAGGCAACATTTAGTGCCTGCAGTGAAGGTGAATTCATATATGGAGACATCCATTTCTTTCTCTTTGCGGGGGAAATGGGTTTTCCCCTAGGAACAGGAGAGACTTTATGACCTGCTATTATTGTAAGAAGTTGAGTCTACATGTTCTACAAATTTCGAACATCGGTCTCCTGGTTTAACGGTGGCACAGTGGGTTACTGCAGTCTTGGAATGCATGCTTATCTACAGTCTGATTTCCTTTTAGGTAAGACGGGCATTTAAATGGACATCAGGAGAAACCAAGAGATTAATGGGTGTTTTTTAAAGGACTTGCTCTCTTTATCAGGGTTAGGTTGGTTTCATCGTGTGGTGCGCTTTATCCTGATTTCTCACGGAAGACGGAAAATGAAGATTTGTTCATCATTGTACAGGTAGTGAACTCCCAGGAGTAGATAGTCCCCAACAATGTTGCAAGTTGGATATTAGCAACCTGAACTTTAGGAGGAGAGCATGTTGGTCTTGTGGTCCAACATTAGCGACGGTCGTCCTGCTTCCTTCACAGGAGTTCAACAAATAATTGTCACGTGAGCCCCATGGGCTGCTTCTCTGGGGTCGTCTTCGCTGGTGATGGTTGGTCAATTTCCACAGGTGTTTGTTGTTTCACTTAGAGAGCAGCAGGTGTGTACCGGCATCCGTCTCAGAGGAGGGCCCCTGAACGCTGGAGTCTCACCCCTTTCATGAAAACTTCTGTACACGGTCTCATCGCATACAGTTGCGAGAATCCGCGTTAGTGATGTTTTCTAACATTTTTTGCTGGTAGCTAAGACTCAAATGTGACAGATAAAGAAGGTTGAGTAGTGGAGAGAACATGGCATTTCTCAAACCAGAAAACCCGAAACTCAGTAATGCGGTGAGTCCAGTTTTTTTCCAAATTGTGGGTCAGGATACATTGGTGGGATACAATGAGTGGGACGCGCCTAATATGTTTTCTTAATAGAAATATAGTTGTTCAGAGTAGTAGACTGGGGAAGGATAAAACATTTCATGTTTTTTCAAGAATCTTTTTGTTTCAGAGATACAGACTGGTTTGTGTATGTGTGTGTGCGCATGTGCAAATGTGTGTTCATGTGTGCACACCCACATGTGTGCACATGCATGTTTGTGTGTGCATGTGCCCATGTGCATGTGTGTGCACCCACATGTGTGCATGTGTGTTTTTGTGTGCATGTGTCCATGTGCATATGTGTGCACCCACATGCATGCATGTGCTTGTGTGTGTCCATGTGTGTGCATGTGTTCACATGCACACGTGTGTGCATGTGCACTGCTTCTGGTGTATGCATATATGTGTATGTGTGCACGTGTGCTCATGTGTTCATGTGTGTGTGCACATTCTCCTGTGCATGTGCACATATGCCCATGTGCACATGGGTGTGCATGTGTCCACGTGTCTGCATGTGTGTTCATGTGCACAAGTGTGTGCATGTGCACGTGCTCCTGTGCATGTGCATGTATGTCCACATACGCATTGCGCTTGTGTCTACACGTGTGTGCATGTGTGCTCATGTGTACATGTGTGTGTGCTCATGTGCATGTGCACATATGCCCATGTGTGCCCATGTGTATGCACCTGTTCGTGTGCACATGTGTGTGCATGTGTGTGCACATGTCTGTGCGTGTGAATATGTGCCCGTGTGTGTGAGCATGTGTGTGCATGTGTGCATGTGGTGCGTGTGCCCACATGTACATTTCTACTTGTCTGCATGTGTGTGCATTCTGTGTGCATGTGCGTATATGCATCTGTGCCCGTTTGTACGTGTGTGTGTGTGTGTGTGTGTGAGAGAGACGTGAAACTGGGTCACAATCTAAAATCTATATTGTCATCAACAAAGCTTTGGGTATTTCAATGTTTCATCATTCTGAGGCCTGAGTTTCTCATCTGTTAAATGAGATTAATTGTGATTAATTTTGAGGGTTTATTCTGAGGATCGATGGCAGTAACACATGCAAGGTACCTTGCATGGCACCTAATTTACATGAAAGACATACAAAAGATGTTACCTTTTACTAAAACTAATCCATTTAAAATTTAATTGATTAGAATCTATTCAAGTGTACACAGGATTGAGTCAAGATTTAAATCCATAAAACTAATTTTTAAAATATTTTCTGATTTGAAAGACAATGATGTTAAAAATTAATCAGGAAGGACATTGCTTAATTAATTCACTCTGTTTATTGATTTTTTTTCTTTGAGATCATTGTTTTTCAGTTCAATAAAGTATTTTTAATTTATCAACCCATTTACTCGAGTAGTATTTCCAGAAGCTGGAATATGTCCAAAGCAACATGACAGAAATTCTTATGTGACTCCAAACTTATGCTATGAGAAATAGTTACATAATCTGGTGACAGCTTACAAAAGAGAATACTCAAATGACATTGATTTCATATACTAAAAGGATTATTTCATGCCAGAGAAATTATACTAATTAAATAAACCTTGGAAGAAGAAGAGTGAAGACAAATTTATTGGAACTTATGGAAAAATAGAGTTCAGCTCAAAACCAGAACCAGAGAATTACTCTTGAGACTGGTCCTGAGCCACCAGAGCTACCTCTGAGAAGGGAGGATGGGTATGTTTGGATTTGATGGGGTGCAAATCATCTTTTAGCTTAAAGACCTGATGATTGTTTAGATCGGCTTTTATGGGTTAGATATCCTGATGGGCTCTATATCAAACTTTTTTTTTTTTTAAGATTTTATTTGACAGACAGAGCACAAGGGGGGTGCAGCAGGCAGAGGGAGAGGCAGGCTCCCCAATGAATGGGGAGTCCAACGCAGGGCTCTGTCCCCAGACCCCGGGATCATGACCTGAGCTGAAGGTAGCTGCTTAACCGACTGAGCCACCCAGGCGCCCCATATCAAACTTTCATGTTGAACAGTCCCACAGGGCATATGCGTGTGGAACGTGCGTTTTCCATAAATGGGCCTGGAAACACAGTCTGGTGGAAACCGCCGAGGAACATGCATGCTTTCATCTGTCGAGGAATCCTTGTGTTTATCGGGTCTGTTTTCATGTAGTGACAGGCATTAAGTGCTCACCCCTGTCCTTACTCTGGATTTCTTTCTTCATTTAGTTAGTTACATTTGCTGAGTACTTAGAAGCAAAAGTAGAAAAGAAGCTTGTCCATTCCTTGTTTTTAGCTGTTTAGTGGGCATAATAAGCCTTGGTATGAATGCAGACAAGGTTGGGGCTCGTGAGCATGGTAGCATCTGTACTGAGGAAGAACACAAGAGGTAAACTAATGTCAGCTGGAGGGGGAGAGGGGACGCTAGAGAAATACGATGGTTCGTCTCACCAAGAAGCATACCAAGAAAGGCATGATAGGGAAAGGTGATGGTCGGGAAAGGTGATAGGAGGGAAGGACTCTTTTTTTCCCCTGTAGCCTTTAAGGAGTGCTTTGAGTGGCTTTTGATTTTGTTGGGAAAAGAGAATAACTTAAAAGATGCCCGCGATCATAACATAGTCTTGGTACCTGACAATGACTCTCTCCTCCAAAGTAATTTACAGAAGAGAAATCAGGAGTTGTGTAAAAAGGGACCTGACTTGCCCAAGTACTCCAGAGCTAGAATCAGAACATGTGTTTCTTGATTTCGCACTGTTCTGATACCAGTCTTGATGGGTTCCTGCCCTGAAATGTCCTCCGAGTCTTGCGGGCCTCAGGCAGCTGGACCTGCGTGTCAGGGGTTTTAGCTACGGATGTAACGGGTCCGGGATCTTCCAGGAGTAACGCGGGGTGGGTTGTTTGAATGGATCACGCAGCTGAGTGAGGGTTCATGCGTCTTCTCATTCAGAGGTTTTCAGATGTTACTTTAACAGGAAAACCCTCTATTCACATTATATTTCTGTAGCAGCTTAATGTGTAAGCAGAGCTTTGTTTTTTGTTTTGTTTTGTTTTTAAACAAAGATGATTTAGTTGAAACGAGTATTAGGGATCTGGACCGCTGCCTGCTCCTACTTCCCACTGGTCCACCGTGACAACCACGAGGCTTCCAAGATGTATCATAATTAAAAAAAAAAAAAAAAAGTCTACTTGCTGGCCTTCGTTTTATGACCAGGCTTTCTTTGAATGCAGGGGAAAGAGGACATTATTTCAGAATTCCTGGAGAAAAATCCATTTTCTTAAATATGGCAAAAAGAGCCTAAAGGGGCAGATTTCAAGGGAGCGTGACTCTGGGGGAGTCCAGTGGAAGGGGAGACATGAAATATGAGGAAATCGACCTCTGGACTGTCCAAAACAGGCATTGTGAGGACTAATCAGCTCATGTGTAACTGACTCGCCGTGTCTAAGCTCTTTCACAAAGAAAACGAAATTTGGGGAAATACGCATATTTCTCTAACTATAAATGGTGGTTCATGCTGATTTGAAATCGTTTTGTGCAGATATCTGGTAGGGTCTGCAGTGATGGCTCTTTCTAGGGAATCTGCAGAATAGTATCTGGTTTGGACACCCCTGTCCCACCCTGTAACCTGGTGGGACAGAGACCTGTGTCCTTCCCTGGGTTCTCTGGAAATCACGCAGAGCCTCCAGAGCCTTCCCAGGATGAGGCCCCGCGATCTCTGGATAAGGGAAACGAGGAGGCCAAGATCCCGCAATCATGAGTCGCATAGGGGTGGATCCCACAAGGTAGTCCCTGAGCCAGGTTCGGTTGTTACTGATGTGTTTAATGATTACACTGCCAGGGAGCCCGTGCTTAGAATCTCCTGGGACCTGGTGCTCCCTCAAGACGGTGGCATATTCATAACCCATTTCAACGCTTTTTCCGTCCTAAGTCCTTGACTGAATGCTTAATAGTACCCGCAGCTTCCCTGTCGGGAGGCTGTTCTTGCCCAGACGCGCACGCCAGCTTGGCGCAGGGCGGCAGCTCTCCCTCGGGAAGGAAGTGCGTCTGCGTGCCCGTCGTGCCGATCACCAGCACGTTTTTCTTCAGGTCGAGGGAACACTGGTGTCTCCTGAGCATGTCTAGGCCTAGCAGCATGTCCATGGGCTGGTCCTCCAGGATGGAGAACGAGCACTGGAGGAAGTCGCCTTCGATCTGGATCTGGGCGAGGTGCACCCGGCCGATGATTCTCTGCGTGCCCACGCCCTTGGCGATGCCAGCCCAGCGGCGGTCCACCAGCCGGATGATGTTGCACCTCTCGGCGCACGCCTGGCTCATGATGGTCATCTGGGCCCCGGAGTCCACGAAGGCCTTCAGAGGGTGTCCGTTCACCTTGCAGTTGATGTAGAGCATGGTCACTTGCGCGAAGCTCTCCGGAGCCTCCTCCATCGCGATGCTCATGTTCTCCTCGATGTTGCGCTGCCGGATTTCTTCCTCGATTTTGGCCTGAGCCTCCGGGTCGAACGGGTCGGCCGTGAAGAGGCGCAGCCGCTCCTGCTCCCGCAGGGCCCGCTCCCTCTGCTGCTCCAGGAGGACGCGGGAGAAGGCGTCCAGGTTCCCGCTGAGCAGGGCTTCGGCCAGGGCCGGGTTGCGCTCCTTGAGCAGCGACAGGTCGTGCGGGTTGGACAGCAGCAGGCTGCGGATCAGGGCGGGGCTGTCCACACCCTGCGCGCGCGTCATCTTCTCCCCGGAGCCCAGGCCGTGGGACGGCTGCGGGGCGCGGGGCGGCTGCGGGGCGCGGGGCGGCGGGGGCGGCGCGGGCGGCGCGGGCGGCGGGCGGCAGCTGGACGTGCCGGGCACCGCTACGCCGGCGGGGTCGGGCCTCGCCAGGCTGGACGTGCGTCCGGGCGGCCGCGGGCCCGCGCCCTCCTTCTGCAGCAGCACCACCACGTCGCCGTCCCGGAGGCCGTAGGAGCCCAGGGAGCGCTGGTCGTCGGCCAGGAGCCGCTCCAGGAAGACGATCTGGGTCTCGGCGGCGGGGATGCCGGACTCGAGCTCGCAGAGCAGGCGGAAGTTGGAGAGCTCGAAGTCAGGGCTGACCTGGAGGGAGAAGGTCGCCTCGGACAGGTCCCTCCGCACGCAGTACACGGTGACCAGCATGGCATGGGCCCGGGCGGGCCCGGCGGGCACCGGGCATCGGGGTGTCCTCCGGCTGGCTGGGGCGGTCCCGCCGGTGGTGCGGCTGCTCCCCACTCGCGCGGCTGGGCTCGGGGCCACCCACTTCTGCGCGAGGCCCAGTCGCTCCCCAGCCTCCCTGCCGGCCGCTCGGCTGCTCGGAACGCGGAGGAGGCCGCGTGCGTTCCACACTCATTTGTGCGCAGCCGCGTGGAACTCGGAACCCCGTTCCCTCGGAGGCGCCCGACGCCCGGCCGCGGCCCCGGCCCCCTGCCAACCCTGCCGCATCCCGGACCGCAAAGAGACGACTCAGCTCTTCCTAACAGCTGGGCCCATTCCAGCGTGCTCACTGGAGAGCGGGGTTCCCTGGGCTCTTCCGGGGGCCCCGGACAGGGAGGGAGTGCGGGTTTCCCAGGGGCCGGCAGCGTACGGGGCGCTGGGCAAGAAAGAGGGATCGGCCCTGGCCCCTGATGGCGGGGACCTCACCCTCTGGGGGAACTGGTGGTCAGCGGTGACTCAGAATACCCAGGCTGAGAGAGTGGCGCTCCAGGCAAGAATGACAGGAGCCCGAATTCATGACCAGCCCTGCTGTTCTCCAGAGGAAAAGGTTTGTGTCCATGATTTTAAAGGGCAGGGTATGAAGCTGAAAAGAAAATGATCAGCAGGGGTTTATAGAGTTCTACGTGAATCCGAGGCCTGTAAGCAGTATCCATAAGCAAAAAAACTCCCCCAAAAATATAAAATGGGAGGGAGGGAAAAGAGAAAAATGAGAAGGGGAATGGGAAGGATTCAAAGCAGGTGTTTGTGATGGTTTTTTGTTTGTTTCTTGTGTGTGTGTGTGTTTTCATTTAATTTAAGGAAGTGGTTTCTCACGACCCGTGAAGGACACTTGGTGGCAGGACGGCCAGGTAGATGCTTCCTTGTTGGCTCAGAGAGGACACTGTTGCTAGGAGCTGAAAATACGAGGACCAAAGCCAATGACCATGAGTGTGGTCCTTGAGCAGAACAGACGGGCCCCCGTCAGCCACTGGATGTGGGGAGCGTAAAGGAACACATGGTGTGGGTAACATAGAGGGTCTCCGAAATGCAAGCCCCCTTCCCAGCAGGCCATTGCCTTCAGCGGGCGTGTGAGATGAACTTGTGAGGAGATTGGTCTGACTTGGATTTTGGAGTAAGACGGGTCATGGATGCCTCTCCGGGGGCTGTCTGTGGCTCCGGCTCGGACGCAGGGCTCACTCCCTCCCCGGCACCGAATGGAGGTTCACAGGGCACAGTGGAGAGGTCCTTCCGGCCAGGTGGCAGCGGGTAGAAACCTTTGAGCACCACTTGTCTTTCTCTGTATTTCTCTAAGTGTTTATGAGGAGCTCCTCTTCCCTGGCTTGGCCTTCCCACGGGTGTCAGTCAACATCCTGGGCTCTGCCCCACCCCCTCTTTATTTCTGGTTTTGTCAGAAGACCGGCACTGTGAGACGTTCCATCAGCTGCAAGGACTGTCTTAGCTTCTCATTCTCGTGTGCTTGTCTCAGAGAAAGGATAGCATCTCACTCCATGCTCTCATTATCATTATATTTCCATACTCGTATTCATTTATTGGAAACGTTGGCTAAATGCCCAGCGTGTGTGGAGCGTGTGCTACGTTCCAGGGATGCACGCACAAATTGTGTTAAGTGCAGGCTGTGCTCATAGAGAAGCCACAGTCTGAAAGAGGACACGTGCACGTGTGCACATATGCACACACACACACACGTACCTGCACACACATGCACACATGTGCACACATGCATGCACACATGCAGACACAAAGGCCTATATCTGCATGTGCACATATGCACACATGCACACACATGTACACATACATGCATCACATACACAAATGCATATGCCCACATATACACATATATGCGTACACAGAGACACACGTGCACACACATACCCACACACGTACACACGTGCACGTGTACATGCATATGGACACACATACACACACGTTGGGTGGTTAAAAAAATACCAGAAAAGTCAGTACACCACAGGAGAAATGGATAATATCTGGAAAACTAATGCAGACTGTGGAGAGGGGTCCGGCAGGGAAGGCTTCCTGAAAGAGCTGGGCTTGGAGAGAGGGTGAGAAGTCAGCCAGGGCAGGTAGACACAGCAGGCGGAGAAGCGCCGTCCCAGCTCCACATAACCAGTAAGGCAGCAGCACCGCAGGAGAAGGAGGATTTTTTAACATTTAAGGGGAGGGATCTAGCATTATAATTTTCCTGGAGAAAATTATGAATTATTTAGAGCAGGTTTTCACTATTTGCAGAGATGGATGGTGCTTTGACTCAAATATAAGTTAATAAATTTCCTCTGTAATTCTTGGCCTCCCAGTAAGACCCTCAGAGACCAGCCGCGGTGCCTCTGAGCTCGAGAGCAGCTGTGCGCTGAGACCCGTCACGTCCAAACAACTCTGCCAGAAGCCAGCAAGGCTCCCAGCCCCGTCCCTTTTCCCTTCCTGACAACCAGCTTTGCACACTTCACTTTTAAAATCTTAGTAAGTTAGAGAGATAATGCAGGGGTTTTGTTTTCTTAAACAGTGGATGCAATTATTTTTGTAGAGTAAGATTTTCCTCTTTTTGGGGGGCAAAGCAAGAATCTGGGGTTCACATCAAAAGAAGCGAACATCTTTTTTTTTTCCATATTACCATGGCTTTGATACTGAACGTAATTAAGCTTTATGCAGTCTATTTTATTATCTTGCTGTAATTCTGTTGTTGGCATTTTGCATTTATGTGCCTTTTACTATTTTCACCATTTTCTGAGAACACACAGTGGAAAGTAAGAAGCCTCACCGTCTGGCCAATGAGTGCCCTCCCTCCCTAGAAGGATCACACAGGCCATCAGGATTAGTGGGGAGCTGAGTGTTCTCTAGTCCACCCACCACGCAGGCCTTACATCTCTGTAGCGTTCTGGAATCCGAAACGCTAACCACAGCCTTCTGGGGCTCTCTATATTGTAGGATTCCTTCATTCTCCTCAGCACTGTGATTCAGATACCAGATGTGTAATTATCTTACCTCAAAATTGTAATTAAAAACTTGCTCTGATTATGTAATAAACTCAGGGATCGTTGGGAGCGTGTATAAATACTCCTAAAAGTGAAATGTCCGCACACCGTAAATTCCCGCTGCATAGGCTCTTGGGAAACGGGCTGTCTGACTTAGCTAGACGTGCAGACCCAGGCAGCTGGAGGTGGTTATAACTTCTGAGGGGTCGCAGTGAAGTATGTTCTCTTGCTTTTTCTTCCTTGGTAAGTGTAATATGGGAACATAATCAATCCTTTCTTTGGTAAGTGAGACGCCTGCAAGGTCTCGTGGCTATCGCTCAGAAAATCAATTCTCATTGTTCAGCCTAAATACCCAGAAAATAGAAAAGATGACCCTGATTTCATGCCGGCCAAGTAAACAGCCCTGAAGTTATTTTTTGGAATAAATAATGCCCTTTATAATTTGCCTCTTTATAAAACCTTAATGCCACAAAAAATCCAGATAATTGATGGTTTCACTTAGCACAGTCAGCTGACAGCTTAAAGTTCCATGTCTTGCTTTGCAAAACAAATAAATGTCTTTTCTGTGAAAAAGGAGTGGCGGCAGAAATGTCTGTATGTAGCATCTGTGATGATCGGATTACATTAAGTGAATGTATTAACTTGCTGTGTTTGAAAGGAAAGATTCCTTCCTTGAAATGTGCGGCTGCTATTACTTTAAAAATAAAGCGTAATTGAGACATTCAGACAGAGTAATCTTCACCTGAAATTCTCAAAGCAACTTAGGAAAGATGCAGTATTTTCAAAGCTGATCTAGAGGTTAAACTATGAATTCTTCCTCCTGTTCCCCCATTTGCTTTATAATAATACAATAATTGTGCCTCCTCTGTTGCAAATGAGCAACATTTCTTTCCTTGGATAACTATTTAATAGACCCATTGACGATACTCTGATGAAAGTTCAAGCTTTTATTTGTATGTTTGAGGGTTTCCCATTGGAGAGGTTTAATGTTGCCCATCTTTGAGACTTAAACACCATAATAAAACCTGTTAAATAAATGTATAAACAGTCACATAATTGCAGAAACTCATGAGACCTGACAGTTTAGTCTGTGGCAACCCGCGGGCAACCCAGCTAGTGAGTTTTTCTCTATTATAAGGAGACAGAATATGGACAGAAGACACACACACACATGCACACACAAATATACATGTGTTGGGGGAGGAAAGGTGAGCAAATGCACACTCAGTCTGGGCATGTTTTCAATCACTTTAATGTGCAATTAAAAGATGATGTCATTTTCCAGCAGGGAGCACTTTTAGGAAACATTGTATTTATTGTTTTATTTTACAGATTACTGTTTTAACATTTTATCATGAAAAGTGATATATATAAATATATATGTATCTTAAAATATGAAATATATAATTTAAAACTATGCATTTTAAGTTATATATTGTGTGTTAAAAATAATATCTCTTGATAGCTTTTGGCTTTATAGAATTTTGGCTTTGGCTTTACTTTCCAAGTCTAGATATACATGTGTGTGTATTTACTTATTTTTAGGAAAGTTTGCTGCTACAGTTTTGTGCCTTATGGCCTCTTCCAGTGTCTTAATCATAGAAGAATTACTCGGGTGTAGGACACACACCTTATTACTGAAGATTTGTAGATTACTTATAATTTGTGAAAGAAATACTTAGATTAGATAACCTTAATGTAATAAATTAAAGACACGCTAAAAACAATTTATGGGGACATCTGGGTGGCTCAGTTGGTTAAGCATCTGACACTTGGTTTCGGCTCAGGTCATGATCTCGGGGTCCTGGGATCAAGCCTCACATCTGGCTGCGTGCTCAGTGGGGAGTCTGCTTCTCCATCTCTCTCTGCCCCTCCCCTCCACCTGCTCTCTCCCTCTCTCTCTCAAATAAATATAATCTTTCCAAAAATATGATTTCCTGGTTTTATTGTTTTTTTCTTCACTTCCAATGTGCCTTAACAAAAGAATGTTTCCATTTTTTAAAATTTTTGCTCTTTGGAGAATAACCATGTAACAAAATAGTAAGAGTAATGATAATGGAGACTTAAGATGTTTTGAATTCAGCTGTGATTGAGGAAAG